ATTCAAAAATAGAAGTCACAACCATTAAAATTAACATTAAATTATAAATTGAATTTAACCATCTACATTATTTTATGCTAGAGATCATGAATCGATAAAATGTTGTCGCCGAATTATATAGGTGTAATAAAATGTGAGATATCTATCTATGTAATAATCTTTGTAAGTATTAATACATTAACCGGTCTTAAGTCTATAATAATTATAGAGTAATTTATTATTCACGTGCGAGTATTCAAATGGTAATGAACACTTATAAATGCAATATAAGTGTATACTGGGTGACCTATACCTAAGTACAAAACGATATTAATAATTTTTTTATAATTTGTTCGTTGTACATCATAGTATACAAATAATGATAGTTTTGTATGCTACAGTCTATAACTCACCATACAATTAACTACCTATAGTTTCTATACTATATTTTATAATTTGTCATGGTTGTAACTAAATAATAATTAATGAATTATGATAGTTGATAAAAGTGATGAATTTGGAAATATATTACTAAAAAATAATACTATCGACTTTCATGTTATGATGAACCATAGATGATGTAGTGTGTATTATATAAGACGCGTTATTTATATTACAATAAATTATTTTAATAATTTTTTTTTTCGACAAGTAGTTTAGTACCCTGTATAAATATGCATAAAAAACAATTTCATTAAGCTGCAATTAATTTATTGGGTACTGAATCTGATGAAAGGATCTGTAATTTATACAAATGATGTCTTATTAAAAATTCTGTTTATTAATTGCGTTTGACACTTATAATACTACATTGGTATCACATTCTATAACGATTACTATCATTAAATGTAAATCATGATTCGTGTCTTTATTCAAATTTTTATTTTTGTACTAACCAACATTCTCTTGAAGGAAAAATGGTAAAATATCGTTTAAAATAATTCACCGATTTTATCTTGACCGTTTCCTTTCACATCGGTCCTCAAACTAAACATTTGTAATGTCTTTTTTTGCGAGAAGACAACCGCAGATGGCAGTAATAATATGCTACTTATGCGAGATAACTGATAAGTATATAAAGTATACTATATGTATAGTATACCATAAGTATGTACGTGCTTCACCGTAACCCTCTATAACGGTAAACAAACTCATCAGGTAGAATCCAATTAACCGAGTTAATAACATTTTGAACGTCGATTAGGAAGCACCGGTCAAAAACAATGCTAGTCAATTACATTGAAATTAGAGTGGGATAACAACATTGTAAATAAGTTTTTGTACCGTCGTCCGATTTCCTTTCCTATGCTCGAGAATAATAATAATACTGTAACATATTGTGTGTTCCACACAAAAGTAATCGATGGGTTTTTGGCTTTTAAATTATATAGTCTAACAAATAGTATGACCACCAGTGTTTGTGTACATATTATACTATGTAAAAGCAAAAAATAAAAAAACAAAAATCAATGCATACAAATTAAGCGCTTCCTGCGGTATACATTAATTTTCTCAACGAGTGATGCCAGATAAACGATTCAATATAATAATATTATTTTTACCAGTTGTATAAGCAGCACGCTTTTATGCTAAAAAAAAGACGAATGTTTAAAAGTTAAGAGATTAAAGAACAAGTTATTTACTTCATTTTTATTTGGCTTTAACTAGATAATCGAGTCAAGTATCGTGTGTTTTTATACCGCACAGAACATATAATATATGATCAGTGTGTTTTACATAGTACGCCAACCCCATGTTTTTCCGAAATGACTATTGTTTAAAATTTGATAAAAACAAGTCATCATGTACTCAAATCTTCGAAAAAACTATGACCGATTTTAAAAAATGTTAATACAAATTTCAAGTTAGCAAATTTAATTTACTTTTTTCTATAAATTTGTCTAATATCCAAGGAAGATTGTTGCCAAAAATTATTTTTCTCTTGGCACCGGCCATATTGGATAATTCTTTCCTAGTCGATGATTTATTCAATTTTTCTCTTTGTGCGCATCATTATGTAATATGTTCTACAGAAAATATCGTGGAATAATTTATTTTTTATATAATATAATTTGTTAATGAAAAAGTATACATTTTTAGATACGGGTTATACTTACATGCGTTATCATTTAAATTAAGACCTACATTTATAGAACACTTTTGTTTTAATTTTAAGTCAATAAGTGATTAAATGAAATTCTAACAGTTTATACGAGAGATAATAATTTGTTGTTATTTAATTGAAATATATATTTATAGACTTAATAATAATCGATAGTCAATCAGCGTTAGATTGTAATTAGCGTAACGCTGTATGGAAACGTTTTACATACATAGAATTTCATGGCTACTTAGAAAACGTCAATAATTAGTATGGATTAGCTGCCTCTTTCAAAATTAGTATTGTTTCACTTAACAATACTAATTTAAAACGGGAACGATGACTAAACGAATGGTCGATGAGTGTACACTCCACAGCATGAAACGTTTAAATATAAGCACCAAGTTGTGTCGGTTTTTATTATAAGGTATTATTTTTTTAGTATCTTCTTCGTTATGTGTTACTTGTGAAATATCATATAATTATAATATAGTACTCAGCTTACACGTACGCATGCACATTAATTGCATAGTGGTTTTATTTCACTTAATTCTCCCTACTTGAATTTGTTAAATGATTCAATTGCAATTTCGATTAGGGTTTTTATGAAATTCTCAATAATACAGTGTGGAAGGTACACTAAAGAACACGTCTTTGAAAATGTACTCGAAAACTACTTTTAACTTTTGTCGTTTCTTAGAAACCAGATTTTATGCTCTATATGACTCTTTACCAAGTGAGTCTTTTAACGCTTACACTATTTCCCTATAAATGGCAAAATTCTACACATAATCAGCGACTCTAAATAGACTTTAATTAATCAACTGAGTTTTTATCAAATTTAAACATATACATATATTTTATTTTTCTTGTATATCATGCACATAATAATATTATGATTAACGCGTTTCTAAAAATTATATAAAATGTAGACAGTGCCGATAAATATTCACCATTATATAGCATACTAATTTAAATATTAAATTAATCAATCGAATCCCATTAGGTCCAAATAGAAAAATGCTTAAAGCTTATTTAATATAAGAAATTTAAATGCATGTTTTTTAAAATCAATTTCGTTCTCTTCTTTTTTTTAATGTGTATATTTTTTAGAAGGACATCATTGAACTCCGCAGGTAATCAAACACGTTAATGAATTCTAATTTCCTAATATTTTATTTTGATTTTTAAAATCTTAATGTAGCATTAAACTCTTACTATAAAGATATTATAGTCTGAACATCAATTTGTTAGATTTGTATATTTTGGATAAACTCGCAATGGCTGAGTTTGAAAGCTGTACCAATTAAATTGGAATGTTCCAAACATTATGTTTTTATCGAGAATTATTTTTAATCGGTATGAGTTTTCAGAAAAAAATAGGAATAATATATTTTTCCTAAATATAATTAACATACAAAGTTACTAGAGTGTATTACATAACACAAGAGACGGTTTCATATTGTTTTTAAACGAGCCATATTTTTTTGTGTTCATATAAATCATTCTGTAGTCGACATTTGAATGAATGTATGCTAAACACACAATTTTATGTTTTAAGTAGCAACCACGTATAGTGTACACATTTATGCATAATTTTCTTAAGCATCTGAAAATCTTCTAACGGCTGGTAAAATGATAATTTAGGAAGAGTGAATAAGTAATATTATTTTTTACAACATTATGTTTTTCTCAAATAACCTAACCTAACCTACAGTAATTATACTTTACAATAGGTACACTTTTTATAATTTTTAGCATTTAATTAATAAAAACAATTCTGAATTATACGAATTTGTATAAATTATAATTGCTTGAACGGAACTTTGTTTAAACAATTGATGTTTAGCATTCTTATAAAATGCAATTGAGTATTGTTTTTACCAATATACTATTTTCATACAAATTCTTTCTTACACACATTGGTAGTTCTGAATGATGGTCATTAGACGCGATAAATTCGAATATATTAAATTGTTTTTTAAATTATTTATATAATTCTTTTAAAAGGTTAAATAAATAATAATACAATTTAGACAACAAGACAAGTTTTCAGTAACATTCGTTTACACAAATTAATTAAACAGTTTTATTATTAATAATTTCACAAACACATTTTTATGTTTATTATTTAATCATATACGACCTAAATTAATTTATAAATTAAATTACGAAAACTTTCAACGTGTTACCACATTTTTAGTCGAACACTTTTTTTGAACACCTTTAAGTAATTTCATTACCTTTAATAGTTTGATTATAAAACCGATTAAATATTTTGCCCGTAACATAAAAAAATCATACTTAAGCATGGAACACTCATTAAATGCTTAAATGCTCAATGCTTATTTTTTGAAGTTTTAAATAATCATTGAGGTATTATCTCTCAAATGTTATTAATAATTTAAGCCTGCAATTATTAACATACCGATAACAATATCCTTGACCAAAAAATGTATATCCAAAAACTTCGAACAACATTTTGCAAAATTTCGTAAAGATCATGAAATTATTTTTTTAGTATAATAAAAATAAATTGGCAAAGAGAAAAAAGTTGATTTTATATTTTTATTTTAGAATTAGCGTGTTCAGATTTAATGTAGGTACAGACAATTTCATTATTAATTATTATTTTTTCGATTACATTCTGTTTTAATAATGATGAATTATTATCAACTGACACCAAGCCGGTGAGCCAGTGGTCTCTGTGTACTGTTGCCACTGTTGCTGTCGGTTGCCGGCAGGTGTGAATCGGTCGGAGGAGGCCGACCTACAGACCTAGTGGGGAATACCCCGACGCCTTGCCATTGGTGGACCGAGACCGCGCCCCACCGTTACCACCACTCTGGTCGTCCCCCCGATTTTTTTGAACCGCGTTCGCCCCCCGGAATAACCAGATTCGCCAGTGCAAGCCGGCAGGCGCTCCGGATAGTCCACGTTTTCGTCGCTTCGCGTTGTTGCTCGTTGACCGGCTTATACGAACTCGTACATACTTGTATACTTACAATAATATATAACGTACATTTAGAGTATCTTTGCGAAACGATTTGTTGTATATTTACTCGGCAAATTTTACAACGAAAACAGCATATCATCACACGTCGTTTCCGATCGGTACGCGGTTTTCAAATTTATAATAAGTGTCAGAAGAAAAAAAGTTACACAAATTAACCAAACGATATAATATTGTGCGTTACCTTTATTGATTAACCATGACGTTCGAGTCTTGAATGTCGTTGGACGCCGCGAAAAGCAACTCGGCCTTAAACTCCGATTGGATATGCTCACACGTTTTGCAAACACCAAACGTAAGTAAAAACACATTGTTAAAAAAAAAATCCAAGTGCTTTTTACGACTGAACGCCGCGAATATCCCAATTAGAAGCGAAATGTATATATATAAAATACATTTTTATAGAAATTAACTATTTTCTAATTTTTTTCGGTCGAAGATTCGTTTTGTTAAATAAAAAAGTGTGCAAAAAAATAACTTATTATAGTGGCCTACAGTGGAGACTTTAACGATCGTGGAAAAATTCGTAGTCACAACTTTTCGATATCTGTTCTTTTTAGCGGTATCGATTATTGAATAATTAAATTTAAATATTCCTCGAGTGCTTGTGTACACTTATAATGTATCTCTTAAGTTGTCTGATCGCGTTTTTATGATCTCGTCGCGCCCAACACGAAACCCGGCTCTTATTAGCATGTTTACTATTCTGGTTCGCATGGCGTGTATTTTGCAATTGTGATATTATTTAACTAATGGCTACCGACGACATGCTTTAAATACAATTCTTAAATTACACGGAGTTAGAGCTTTTATATCGTCATAAAACCAGACCGCAATCTAAACTTGTATTATGTCGCCAAGCCGATATGGCTATTCGGGAACTTTTAATCTTCAATCGTCGCAACCGTCACCTGTGCCGGCGCATCCCCTGTTAAAGTCTCTCGACAACACGGGTATAGGAAACGTTAATATTTATTTGAAAAATTATATCAAATTTATGTTTATACCAGAACGAGTATGAGCTCCCACGCTAGTTCTTTAAGAGTGGTCCACTATTTGTATTGAGATATTTAAATAAAATAAATTCAAGTTTAACCGGAGTGGCTAATATTCATCTGTCTTTTTTTATTAAGTAAAGTAATTATTTATAATAAACTATTTTGCTATATTGCATATGGTCAAACTAATTAAACTATAAAAACCACGTATTTTTCGTTATAATGGAAGACATTTTAATCGCGTTTACTCTGAATTTATCGAATCATTAAATATTTAGTATTCCGTTTAACGCCAACGATAAGAAATTCGCGATCGGTCATTTTTCAACGGGTTTTTTTAATTATTTTACTCAATCCGGTAATAATATGCACAAAAAAATATTGTCACACACCCACAGTCGAAAAACGTACATGTTATTATGAATCATATTAGTCGGATATCATATTAGTAACAACACACTCGTTTAGATTAAGACTTAACTACCGTATTCACTGGAACAATATACGGCTGGATCAACTAAAATAATTATTATAACTATAAGGACACAATAACTTTATAGCTGAAAATAAGTAAATGTATAGTTTGTCCAACAAAATGATTAGTTAAAGCAACTATGCATTTAGTTCGGCCAACTCAATGTTTAGTCAAAGCAAATATTTATTTAGTTATTGCTTATATTAACTATAGCTTTAGTTGATCCAAATATGTATTTTTTTCGCGTTAAAGTCGACCACACAAATGGTTTTGATAAATTAGGTACCTTATAGCCTTATACACGTGTACATATATGATGTAGACATAATAGAAGTTCAAGATGCTTGAACGTCCGAGTAGTCGCTTGTGTGGGCGAACGGATCACGAAAATAGCCATTGCGAACATGGAATGGGCGGAAAGCGTATACACACTTAGGCGGATTTAAAAAGAAAAATTCTCCTTCCACCAGGCCGTTAATAAATTAATAATAATATATCGATCAATAAATTCGATAGCGGTGGCGGCGGCGGCGTGGCAATTACGACGATATAATATTATAATATTAAATATCAGATATTTTTAATTAATTTAGTTATAACCCGAATGGAACAGTTCGCACCGGGCACGACCCGATCACGGTGCCGGTGTGTATATATACATATACCTAATAATAATAATATAATGCAATCGTACACGCCCACGCTCGATCATCGATTAATCGGTCCGAGACGAGAGCACGCATGGTGATCCCGCGGGAACGTACAAACGAATCGATTATTAATTAATAATTTATTAAATTACAGAGTATTATATTATATTATTATTTTTATATTATACGTATAAGGCAGCACGTCCCTCCTCTAAACGGCCGGTCTTCGTGTGGGGTTTCCGCGCCAAACTTTCTCCGCAGATCTTAATTACACTAATTGATATCCTCGATCGCTCATCCCATACTATATATGTATAGTTTATATATATATATATATATATATAGACATTCGGACCGATATCACGCATTCGACAAGCAAGATGTCACAGCATCATATAGTTGGAAATCATTGCGGTTTTGTTTAGAGTGATAAATTGTTTTCGAAAAAAAAATCAATCACCTCGATAAAACTGTTTATAAAAACGAATTGAATTTGTTCGTTAAGCAAACAAAGAATAGAAGTTAAACCATGCAATGGCCTTTTACTATATTCGTATCTGAACTTGAATCCTCGTTACATAATATTAAATTAGTAAAAATTATTTATTTATGATCAAACGACAATGTAGGAAAAGTTGTAATTCAGCTACAGTTAACAAAATAAAAAAGTCATTTGAAACAATTTAAAGCTCTTTTGAAACAGTTATAAACAATATAACTTTTGTTCATACAAATTAGCTATGTATTACAGAACCCGTTTTAAGAAAATATTTTTGAAAATTACTATTATCTAAAATTCATTACAAAGTCGGTTTAGCATGCAATAGCTGTGATAAAATTGTATTATTAATTATAGTATATGTTGAACATTCTTTTGCCTAAATCGGTGTCCGTGTTGTGGATAAAACGTAGATGAAAATTGAATATTAATAATAGTAGACGTTACCGGTAGAAGATGAGACGGAAAAGCGCAAGGTCTTTTAGTCGCATCACGATAAACACTTACATGTAATTGAGTAACCATTAAAGATATAACAATGCATGTGTACGGAAAACGATTCGTGTATTGTTCACGCTTATATTATAGACTATCGTAGAAATGATTTCCACACAAAATAGTACAAGTTATATGACAGAAATATACAAAAAACAAAGCGAATGAACAAAAAAAACGATAAAAAACCAATAGCGTGGAAATACTATGAGTAGAGGTTTTTTAAAATTTAATTTGCGAATCGTATTCAAACTTATTATGATAATATTATCATAATAAGTTTATGTACAGAGCAGCGGCGTCGAAGACGAAGAATGCTAATGTGTCGACCTACAGTGTGCTACCGGCGGCAGAGAGTGCTGGCATACACTAAATGATTTTCATACGCATACTTAGTACTTAATCTTATTATAATATACATAAGTAAACGATAAATTTCTGCACGAAATTCTGTTGGCTCCATAATATCTATATAAAGAACTGCATGAGTCATAAAAAAAAACTGCCGAATTTTTTCAAATTATATTTTATAATCGTCCGAATACCAAGAACGTCTTGAATGTAAATGTTTTATCATTATTAACGACTCGGCGAAAATTAAAATATCGCGTGATCACTGATCGACCAGCAACTGGTTTTTTATTTGTAATAGGTGTAGTTAAATAATTGAACAATATAGTGATATTCGAAATGTCGCGAAAACTGGATTATAATTTTATGGCAATATAGGAGATTATAATAATGTCATTGTTGTATAATATTAAAATATATACAACGCGTAAAGGTTCCTGAAAGAGACGTCGCTAAATTCTGCGCATAAATTAATAAATTATATCGTTATAGTGGTTGGGATTATCCGCTCGTTTTAGCTGCGCTTAGGTAGGTATATTATGTTTTTTTTTATTGAAATCTTACGATCGCGACCTCCTGCCACGAGGACTTAACCGTTTACATAATAACAAAATACGCTTGGGTATACTCAATACTGTTAAACGCGTTAAGCGGTATCCGGTTTCCGTTGCAGTTTTGCGACGATACCGCGAGTTTTTCCGGTTCATCGACGATGGCGCGTGCGCAACATAGACCAGTGGATTGCATTATAATATTATTATTATTGTAGCTGAGCTACCGAAAGAGGAGCAGCCGACAATAAAAAACACACTTACAAAAATAAAAACGGTTGAAAAAAGTATCTGTACACTACAATAATAATAATAACAGTCCGGCCTAATGAATACCGGATATTTCACAATTACTCACTAATGGACATCACGATATCCGACCATTAGGACTCTCCGCCGTAGCACTCACACCCACTTTTCGGCCGGGTCTCTTCGGTGTATTTATATAACATGTATGTATACATATATATATATATGTACTTACCTAGGTATACCTATAATATACAGTCGGCGCGTAATTCAAGGTGACCCACATCGCAATGACTGTGACGATATACATGATGATGATCCGCAACCGTTTACATCCATTTTCGACGCGTTTTTATGCGATTCTCGTCGATAATAATAATTATTATTATTATTATATACAAATGGTAGGTATAATTATTGTGACACGGAAACGAACAATGCGCAACGTTTTTCGAGTTCGTGTAGATATTGTTTATTATTTTATTATTATTATTTATTATTATATAACATTCAACGATTGTAATATAGTTATTGTAGCTTACAGTAATATTATAATGGGTTTTTCCAACTATCCGAAACTCAGTGGAAACCAGTTTGGAGAAAATAATTCGGCTTAATTTGTCCAGAACGCGGAATACATTGTGCGCAAAAATATATTATAACACACATAAACAAAGTGAAGACACTAGGACCGTATGAGCATAATTTTATCTTAGCGTTTTGGTAAACTCTATTATTTTCTGTATTTATTTATCGTAACACTTAATTTATACTATTATAACGTGGCGTTATCCGCGAAGGCTGTGCTGTGGCCTAAACGAACCAATGTAATGTATGGGCCTGGTTGGGGATTTTTTTGGTGTGTTAAAAAAAACACAAAATAAACCACTGATTTGCATAAACGACGCGTTGTAATACGTTTCCATTGATATTACACGGTTGTTGGCACAATAGACTAGTTTCATTAACATCGGGCTTGTTATTATGTGGACCATCAGCGCCAGCATTGTTTGGCGCGCAAGACTCG